CAGCTGGAAGATCAGTCTGAGGGTGTTCTGAAGGTGAGCCCGTCAAGACCGGTCCCATCCAAAATCTATCAGAAGCAGCTACATTTTTTCAAAACATAGGTGAGGGGGATGTTTCCTCATCCCATTTACACCTAAAGTTTATGGATGGACAGCTTGGTACGTGAGAAACCTATTGACAACCCTCAGTCTGATGGCCTAGACTCAAACCCTCTTCTTCCTAGTTTATGGGGAAAAAACCACTATCCCTAAAGTATAGACTACCAGCCACGGACTACCCAGGGTGCAGCTGGGTAGTCTGAAGTGGCTATTAGCAGGGGTGAGAAGCTGGGTGTCAGACCAGTATTCTGTGTTATGCTGTGCACGTGCTTTCTAGGCCAAACACCAGCTTTTCTCAGAAAAAGCCTTTCCTTTGGACTTATAAGTATCTTTCTCAGCATAAATTCTTCCACAGTCCCCTAGACAAATGACTCCCAAATACAGGTAGCGTCCAAGTAAACGCTAAATATTTTCTGGAATACTAATTCTGCATGTGACCATTCTAGCGCAAACTCCTTTTGCTCAATGTCCTGCTGTAAATTTCCAAATTTGCACCTGATTTGGGACTGATTTGTTTACATTTCCCTCAGGCTCCCTCCAAGGTTTAGTGAAACCCTCCAGCGAAGTCAGGGATATTTTGCAGCATTGTGTTCAATGCAGTTGCATAAAACAACTCGATTGTCTTTGACATTTAGGTAATAAATCTCCAAAAATAATAGTAATAATAATAATAAAAATAATAATAATAAAACCCAGAATTATATCGATTATAAATTGAGAGTCATGTCCCAGAAGAAAATTTTGATTAGTGACTTTATCCAATAATTATTATCTATCTGATCTGACCTTTTTTAAACTAGATATTCCAAAGCAAAGGAGATGTTGTCCAAAATTATATAACGAAAACTGGTGTATATACACAGATTTAAAATTAAATTTTGTAATAAAAATACAGATGTTAATAACATTAATAAATACCAAGGCAGTTCTTATAAGTTTTGATAAACAGGAGCAAAATATTATCTAGTTCTTGTTTTGCATTCTATAAGAATTATTGTATTATCAGGTGTAATCTTTTCCATACAAGAAGTCTATAGTCCTAAGAAAAATGTCCAAGAGAAGTGGCCTTCAGCAGGAGTTATACTCAGTATAATAAAAACATACAGAACATAGAGAAGAGGTAATAATGAACCCATAGACAAACTTCAACATGCTAGAGACTTAAATATTTTACAACAACAGTACACTAGGGGGACAAGTTTTACTCTTTCTTCAGTCCTGGACATATGTCGTAGTCACAGAAGACAGTGCAGCTCCAGGGAATAAGTACTTTTGGCACTGCTAGTAGCGGATCCTGCTCATAGCAGGTCAAAAATCATTATTCTTACTCCTCTAAAATCAGAAAGTAACTAATACCTAAAAGTTTTTTGGTCTACAATTTTACTTTCTTCCCTTCAGCTCACACAGGTGTTTCTCCGGCACAGAACTGCAATTGTTAAATATGAATGTGGCAAGAAAGAAGAAATGAATGCTCATAATGTAGAAATTGATAACTTCAGATATCATCAATCAGAACAGACTGAATACTTTTCTGCTAATGTAAATCTGCAGCATTTTCACTGCATAAAATGAACTTGCTTCAGGACAAGTGCTATCCAGCTCCTAGCTTATTTTATATGGTACAACTAGAAAAACTGAGTTTCATACCACGGAGCATGTTTAAATTCTGGTTTAATAGGAAACTTGATTAGTTTGTTAAATATACTCCACTTATTTCTTTGAAGAGGTTAATAGAATTGAGTAACAAAGTGAAATTAATGTTTTCTTATTTAGGTGATTTGTGTTTAGCAAAGAATTGGTAAGAATAAAGGGAGGAACTCCTGATTTCTCTGGTGCTGCCTCTTGTCTCTTTCAAAAAATCACAGAATGTTTCACCTTAATTTCCCCCCATGCTTTTGTTTAGTCTTTGCTGTGCTGGCAGCCCCAAAGGGCAGTGTATGCTCAGGACACTCTTCAGGGGCTGTAATGCGTGGGTGAGTCTTTCAAGAATTCATCACCTGAATGTTCCTGTTTAAATGTAAACATAACTAATACGAAACTGGAACTGAATTTTTTCACTGAGTTGTCATTCTTCAATAGGGTGTGTAATGTTGTGGATACATCTCTTCTTAAGTATGCTGGGTTCTAAAATTTACTTCCATTTTAAATATCCTTTTGTCTCATTATAAAGTTCTAGAGAAAAAAAGGTTGTATGAAAAGGTAATGATTGCCTAGTATTCCACTTTTATCAGATTGTGTTCTTTATAGAATATTTCTCCAGAGCATCTCACCTGCACAGTTGCTGAAAATATTCCATGATGCTCTCTCAAAAAACTTTAGGAATCCAGGGCTATTTGAGTTAAGAACTTCTTACTACAGCCTAACCTAAACTTTCCCTTCCTTAGTTCCAGGCCATTGTTCCAATGCGATTGTAAATATTTTCCTTCCTTCACTTAAGATAAACTTTTAAGGAAAACATCAAGCAAACAGAAAAAAAAATAAATAAATTAATCTTCTCTTCTTCTTTATAAGCACTGAAATACCAAGTGTAGTTCAAATGTGTGTAGCTTTTAATATTTACGCGAGAGAACAGTCCATAAGTGGAGAATAGTCAAACAAGTCATTATAAAAGCTGCTAGCCTGAGCTACTGAAAAATTCCCAGGAACAAAACTCTCTTCTGATCAGAGGTTTTCAAATGAAAGTGCGCACTGCACATATTAGTAGTGCGTGGAGAGATGGTTCTTCTCTATATGTGACCTCAACTCTGACATTTACATCTAGCCACCAAATTAATATAAATGCAGTACAGTTCAACTGCTGTAAAACATTTCACTTGGTACTTTCTGATATTTCCATTAAGGAAAGAGAAAAATTACAATATCAGTACTGCACATACTAAGTAAAATAATAGGAAACATCAGTAAAAATATAAATAGAGGATCATCAATGATCTGGTGTTTAGTGAGACCCTGTGAGTCTTTTCAGTCTGGTTCAAAAGAGTTACGTGATGACAACAACTGTCAGGCAGTATACAAATAAGAAATCAGAGTTAGAAGAGAGGATATTAAATCAAATATAGGCTAAAAATTAGCCTTTGGAAAAAAACAAAAGAAACAAACCCATCACCACCAACAACTAATGTGGCAACTGGTTACAGAAAGAGTAGTGGATTCATAGTGGATTCTTAGTTCCTGGAATTTTTCAAGTCAAGTAATTTCCACTGAAATGGAAATTAGTTCATGAGACCCTCTGCAACTTAACCTAAACTATTCCTGTTTTGAAGAGGGGGTTGCACAAGATGCCCTCCTGAGGTTTCTTCCAGCTTTAGAATATAAACTACTCCACAATTCTATGGTTTCTGCTTTCTCGGAGATCTGATTAGATAACCCTTTTTGTCCCTAAGGTAAGTTTCTACTTGTTTGCAGTATAATGTAGAGATAGCAGCAGCACTGCAGCTGCAGAGAGTACAGCTCAGCAGAGCTAATTTATCTAGACTTCGGTGTACCTTGTCCTTCCGTAACCCAAGGCAGATCTGATTTGCAGTATTCCAGAACCAAGGTGTGCATGTGTGCCACTGGAATCCAGATGCTTTACTTGTTTGATGTTAGCCTTTGGTTTTGATATTTGTTTGCGAATAACAAACTAAAACCCATTCAAAGTCAAGTTAGCACTGGTACAGAATTGGGTAAAGGAGATATCTTTACGGTTTTAGTTCCCATTAGAAGGGGAGGAATAAAACAGGGCACAGTACCAACATACTGTTACCAACACAGGGAAAGATATTTTCCCTGCCCCCGGAGGAGAAGTCAAAGAGTTTGTTATAATTAGGATGTGAAAGGGCTATAATAAATCATAGGAGTCTAGAGGAACTGCATTCAAAGCCATGTATAAATACCGAAAAGAGTTGCTCAGTGAGGTATTTCTGGTCCTCCTAACATCCACGTGCAGCACTAGTGGTTTGTTTTGATAATGTTTACTCAGTTACCAACTCTGTTGATTTCTGTTACCAGCATTCTGTTGATTTCTGTAGTTGTTATGGCTAAAGGTGAGGGAGGAGGAGGACTTAAGAATGAATGCAATACTCTTGTTGATTATGTGTGGGAATCTGTATGGGACTATGCAGAATAAAGGCAGCCTTCAAGGCATGGGACCATGGGGAAGAAAGCCAAGCACAGATTCACTGTTGGAGAAGGGGAGACAGAGAAACACAAGCTAAAGAAGATAAAAGAGAGTTGTAGTCTTTTTTATTTTCCCATATTGTTGTATTGTTTATAACTTTTCTTTTTGTTAAACTCTGGCTTTAGTATTCTGGTGTGGTTACTACACTGCATTTTGATACTGTATTAATATAAGTTTTGCATAACAAATATCCATATTCAGCAAATATTTATCTATCTGTTTGATGGATGACAGATCTCAGTGTTTTTCCTTTGAAATTTTCTCTTCTTAAACCCATAAAAATTATCATCAGTGAGTAAATCTGAACCAAACAGAGCAGACAAAGAACTCCACCTTCCAATTAAGTATGTTAGCTCATGTAGCCCAAATACTAAGAGGGTACAGACATTAAAACATTTACTGTGTTGATTCTACTTGGCCAAAAAGTCTGCTCTTTCTAGATGTGAAAAATCAGTCTGCTAAAAGAAGTAAAAACAAGTGAGGAAAACTAAACATTCAGCACCAGAAATAATTCTCTCTTAGAAGAGAACAAGGACCTAAATACCTGTTACAGTATCTCAGACTGTTGGATGTTTCTGGGTCTTGGCCTCAGCTCCACACCTGGACAGCAGCACGGCAAGGGAAGCAAGTTAAATATCCATTTCACTTGGAACACTTGTCATGCATTTTAAAATACAGGAGAAATACTTGGAATCACTCTGTACATATCTCACAAATATTTTTTAAATTTATGTCATTGCACTAGAAACCAGCAGATATTTACTGACCCACTGAGTACGTGTATCAAATGGAACCTGAATGTTGACTGAGGAGAAAGATGGGACCAGCAGGAAGAAGAGCAAGGAAGCGGGTTCCCAAAGTGTTGCGGTGAGGTTAAACTGCTTTTCTTTTGCCTGTTTTGTTGCTGTTGTTGTTTGTGCTGCAGTAGCAACCTCTGAAAAGCACTGACATGAACAGAGATTTCTGCAAGAAATCTAGGAAGCTGTTTTATATAATGTGTTTTCTATTTTTGAGAAAAGTTACACGTCCAGGTTGTTAAGAGAGGTCCCTGTACCTGGTTTGTTTGAAGAAAATCAATAAAAATTGATTCTTATGGAGAAGGGCAATAATAAAATTATCAAAGTTAAGCCAGAAAGATACCATCTTTTGTACTTATGTGGTAAAGAGTAGTGCTAATGGGAGAAAACAGAAGGAAAAGGTAGGAACACCATGTTTCTGTGAGCCTAAGGATGGACAACAACCTATCCTTATCAGTTATTCGGGCTGACTGAAATGTAAGGGCTCCAGAAGCTGTTCCTGCAGTTCACATGGGGCAAACCAGCTGAAAGACAGAAAAAGCTTTAAGCAGGACTCCATTACAGAGTTCCATAGAAAAGACAGCAAGAGTTTTGCTCTGTAGCAGGGAGAAAGTGATCTTAACAAGAAGAAAGGAACAGCTGCACGAGCACAAAGTCAAAAGACACAATGCAGGAAGTCTAACCAATGGCCTGTGCATAAGTTTCCCTTTTTCTAGGATGGGACATTACTATTGCTCTCCCTCCCAAGAGTGCTTGTAGATAAATAATCATAGTAATGCACTATTTGGAGGTTCTAAAAACAGAAATTTGATAAGAACAAACGATATGCCAGAAAAGGACTGAATTTCCAAATTCAGAATTAATTAAAATCTCCTAGTAAACACATTAATCAAGATCTTAATGTTATGGAAGAATTTGTGATTACATACTAAAACTGGGTCCTTTGAGGAGAACACAAACATTTGTCTAGTGGAAAGGACAACATACAGGGTACACTGTGTACTTGCTTTTAAGTGCAGTCACCCTGTATCTCGAGTACAAAAAGCATGTGGGAAGGCACATGCTTCTTCAGCACACAAACTATAACCCGCAATCTCAACACAAGTGGCATCAAGATATTTTTTTTTTCTCTCTGTTGGCACAAATGCAGTTTTGCCCTCACCTCTTCGCACCTCTTTTCTGTTCATTACATTTACACAGCTGGATCTTGCTGGACACTGGCTGTTCTAGCCATGCCCACTGCAGGCCCTCCTTCCCTTTCCCTCCTGCTTTCACACCTTGGGGTCCTTTGCAGAAACACAAGGCGGGCTTTTAAAAGCACTTGTTGTGTCTCCTTCCTTGGCTGGACAGCCCGTTTATTTTAGATAATGCTACTGCTTCAGATGAAGGAAATGGAGAGTGTCAGAGTGTTTCATGGTGCTTATGTCTTCATAAACACAAGATTTGCTGACTAGATATAAAGCAAATGGAAGGTGAAATCCTACGTTATAGAAATGAGAATTAAAATAATTACAAATGTGAGGATTTCTCTTTCTCACCAAAACCTGAAGAATGACTTCTATGCCCAAAACCTTGGCTGTTTTTGGGTTTTTTTACAGCTACCCTAGCTAGTTTAATGAGAGATACTACTTTAATTTGCAAATGCCCTTTGCCCAAGACAGGTATTTTCCTCATATGCAGGTACAAACACTATTTAGGTAAATGCTCATTAAGGTTTTGTGGACAACTCTCTGCCCATACATCAAAGGACACCCACCCATTATATTTTTTTAATTTAAAAATTTAACATAATATTTGATATCCCATACACAAAAGTCCCTGCCTTGTCCTGCTCTCACTACATGGCTGCCAAGAGTAGGTGATAGGTATGGGATGATCATTGTGGAATGACGATTGTTGTGAGAATTAGGTTTCCCAGACTGTAATTTTTCATTTTGGAAGGCAGCAACTCTCAGTAAGTTGAGTTCTCTCTGAAAAGAGACCAACATCCCACCATGCAATCAGGCCCCCTAGGATACCTTCACAGGCAGTTAAAATCAGGGTACCTATTTGCTGGTTTGTTTTCACTTGGAGGCTCAGCCTCCACAGTGCTCTAAGGCTGAAAATCCAAATCCTGGTTGTGCAACTGTGATTCGAATGGACCAGATCTGGAAATGGCCAAGCACTCAGTCCACTAGGAGACAACTCGCACTCATTTCTTTTCAAGGACAGTCTTGCTGCAGACAGTGGGTCCTGTGCTAATAGCAACAGTATGAATGGAGAATATGTAGGTCATGAAGCTGGTTACACCTTATCCCACACAGAATCTGTTCCTGCTCTCACTGAAAGCCCATGCTCAACAATAGTAAAGCTGCTCAAAGGCTTTGAAAAACTGACAGGAAGGTATTTTGGTAATCAAAACAAAAGGTAAGCACAGCAGATCTCCTCATGTTGGACCTACTTCTGGATCTTGGCCAGTCTTGGATTCCACTGGAGAGAGAAGAATGAAAAGTTACAGCTGTTCATCACCGAAGCACAGCCCTACTGCTCTGGAGGAGTAAATGGGAAGCTGTGATGCTGTGTGGAGCTGGAGATGTATCAATGCTGCAGCATGAGCCCAGGAGGCAGGATTAAGATTCCCAAAATATTTCTCCTGCAGTCAGTATGTGTTCAGTGGGATCAAGTTGCCTGTAGTCTGACAGTGTTGGGAAAAATTAATCCTTGTGAGGATGCTTTTAATTGTCTAATGTGAACTGTCAACGCTAAAGAGCAAAGTCTGGGAAATTTTACAGGGTGAAATGTGGACTGTGCAGTCTGAATTTCTTCATTTTAATATAAATTGAGAATCTCTGTATCTGCAGAAGTGTAGCTGTGCAATCACAGATGTCAGTGAAAGAAGTGGTAATTATTTTCTATATTTAAAAATTCCATTTTTTTTTTTTTCTCAGCTTTTTCAGGAGAGCGATTTCCAATATTGTAGGCCTTTCTAGATATCACACTCTAATATTGAATCTGCTTTTTGGGCAATTGGTTATCTCTAATTTATCATTAATTTGTGACTAGGCAATACTGTGCTACAAGAACATATAAGCAGTTCATCCTCACTTTTGTGTTCAAAACAAAGAGAAATGTTGACCTAAACACCCTACAAACATATAGTCTAAATAAGTTTATAAACAAAATTTCCAGACTATTTAGCAACACCCTCTGTATAAAGTGTCTTGTGTATGTACATCTGACAGGAAAAGAAATTATTGAAACCGTAATAGTTTCCAAATGTAATTCTATACTGAGCTGATATATATTGTTCAGTGTATCTGAAGCAATGAGTTTTTGTGGTCAGGGAAACTCTGCGAGGATTAGAGAGATATTTCAGCAGTGACATGGCCAAAACAAACAAATACAAATATTTAGTACTTTTTCTAATTCAACCTGACAGCTACTGTTATCAGTAACTGCAGAGTGTGGAGGTGACAGATTTTGCCACTGGAGGAGCAACAAGGACTTCATGGGATGATAACTGGTCTGAGTTTAATCTTTTAAATTAAAAAGCTGCAAAAGTTTCTCAAGGGTGAGAGAGCACAAATAAAAGAAAAGGTTGTACTTGTTCTGTGGGATCACTGTGTATCTAGATAGAGCACAAACAGCCAGGCAGGAAGATGCACACAACTTAGGTGCAATGTAACCATAGACAAAAAACCCAGGTAGTCAGTGTGTTTCAGAAAAAAAAAAAAAAAAGAGCTATGAAACAGAGCAAAAGGTTGTTGTATTGAATGTTAGAGAAGTTTACAGGACATTTATGTTGCATTTGTATAGCATCACAGCAGCAACAACAGGTTAGAGGGCTAAATTAGAGGGCTAAATGAGAAAAAAAGGAACTAATGTGCTATGCACATGAGTGTTAAGGAGATAGTTACCATAGGAACAGTGACTGTGCGTAATCATTCATGCCTTTCAACTCCAGTTACTAAAAGAAAACAAGCTCAAATTATGGAAGCTTAAATTCAGATCAAGTGTAAAAGTGTGTAGCTTCCTAAATTCAAGGGAATGGCAAGATCCTGCACCAGATCATGGACTGACCAGCATGCCAGAGGAGAAAAGGGAGAACACCAGAGAAATGCAGAATACCCACCAACTGGCCAGTGACAGTGTCTTCTATTTTTCTCTTTCTGGAGAATTACTGACATTTCTAGACATTTAAGAAAAATTAAGAGTAATTACTCCTTCAGAAAACATCTAATTTCTCTAATTTCCACGAAATCTGGACTGTTCTGCATTTGTTGCCTGGTATGGACATGTAGCACTTTCACTGCTTCCCATGCTATGACCACAACATACTCTGAACATCATTTGAAGTTCCTCTGAAACACCATCCCAGCTTCATCGCACGATAAGTAAAATTTCACCACACCCAACTTCAGGTGTCTTCTGTGAAAGTTCTGTAATCTGAGCTGGCTGTCCAGGTCCCCTTCTTATCCAACACACAGAAACAGGCACTTAGGGGAGCTGGCTGTCTGATGTACATGGACATCCTCCTGCAGGTGGCTTCAGCAGTTACGTCACCTACTACTCCATCGTCTCTAAAGGAAACCTGGACGACTGGCTGACGTTCACCTCACTGCACAGTAGATTTTGTGTGGACACATATCTTAGCTCAGATATCAGAAACTGATGCTCTGGCGTTTTCCATGGATATCCCTGCCACGTTTTCCTTTGCATGGCTTCTCAGGTTCTCCATGTAACCTTCCTTTCTGGAGCATCCCCAGTGCCCAGCTCTGCATGTGGACTCACTGCCAAACATTCTGCACAGATAATACTGTTTGTATGTCTGCCTCTGCCTTTCTTCCAGTTCTCATAATCTCCATGGCCCATCATCAAATAGATTTTTTAAATGCTTTTGCTGAACAGTCTCAACTCCAGTTCTAACTTCACAACTCTGGAATTGTGTCAGTCTCATCAGGTAAAATTCTCCATCTTGACACTCCTTCAAATCCACAGCAATTCTGAACAAAAATTGAATAAGCAGGAAATGCTGTTTACCCATAACAATCCTTTAGGAAGTGTGCATTGGATTGATAATGTCTCATCAAA